TCTGATGTCAGGAGTAAAGCCAAGAGTATATCCTCACTTCTCAGCAATTGTATGATGAGTGGCTATTCTTGCACAGAAAAAAATAAACAGCAGAAACATTTTATATATGCATCGAGCTCTTTCTGGATTCTGTTTTATATCTCCAATTATACAATTTATCTGTTTATCATGAAAATAACCACCTTATGCCATATGTTTGCTGTATAATGCATTTCCTGTTACTTGAACAAAGGATACAAATGCCCCAAATATAAATAGAGCATTGAAAATATGATTTTGGAATGTAAACAGTGCTAGTCCCATATAGCAAAAGATTACATTCTCAGCCAAAAAATTCATGAACTCGAACAACTGAAATGAAAGAGAAACAAAATTATCATCCAGGTTAAAGTAGATGAATGGGTACTTATTGGGACAAGGTAAACATACTAAACTGGGCATTCAATTCATGATCTACAAATCAGCTCAGATTTTTTTAAAATATTAAGTCCAATAAACAAGATGACAAGCAGGTAGTTTAGCCTATTATATATAACTAAAACTCTCGTTCTCATGGTCAAAATGCTGCATCCTAGGACAACAATTTTTGAACCAAGTACTTTAAATAGTTTTACATACAAATTGTGTCCAAAATCCAGGACTCAAGACTCCCAAGGGAATGAAATTTGGGAAAATTGTTACTGTTTCAGTCTTACTGACTGCTGCTTGGCTACTATGGCCACATGATCTTTATTTTCAACTATCCATGACAGTTTCCTAGCCAGTCTCATAATCCCTTTTTCCCTCCCCAGTCAGCAGCAGTCACTTACCTGTCTGCTGGAAAGGGAAAGGAAGGATGCTTCCTGCCAGACTCCTACAAAGAAACTCAATAGGAAGCTGGCAGGAAGTTGGAAGTCACTCCTGCTCCCACTGCTTTTTTGCCTGCTCTGGGTCATTCTGTTTTTCTGTTTAGGTAAGAAAATATCTGAAATGATGACCCAGCAGGGTATAGGCTTTCTAGGATAGATAAATATAGAATCTGCTTAAGTAACAGCCATTCTTCTCTACTGCAGCATACGTCAAGTGTACTTTGTACAGGAATAAAAATGCGCAAAATCTTTCTCCGTTTCATGATTCAAGCCACATTATTTGTCCCACTTCAAATCTGTAAAACTGTTTTAATAAACATACAAAAATACAGGGATAGCTATACTGTTAGAATACCAGTTGACAATCTTATAAAATCATCAATATACAGTACACATTACATATACTGGCTAAAATGCTATAGACTACCATAGGATTTATGATAATGGAAACACTAGTTGCCTAGCACAAATCACTTTATTTTGTAATTATAGTTTTTAAAATCCCCTTAGAAAACAATTACTTCTATTGTTTCCTATGGGAATTTTAAAGAATATTTTCAAAACATTTTTGTCAAAAGCTGGCTAATTTTTCAGCATGCTGAATGGAAGGTAACACTCCACATGACCTCCCATCCCACCTACTCTTGTGGCCTTTTAAATTCTGTTCATTTGGAACACAGCCAATTCAAAATGTTTTGTTCTGACTACAAACCAAGCATCTGTGCCCACCCTTAATGCACCTGGAAGCTATTTGCCCAACGTGGTATGTAATGAAGCTATTATGTTAACATGGCACCAATATTAAATTTCAGGAAAAGTTTAAACTATTATAATAATTTTAGAACATCCAGAGTACTTGGAAAATTGCATCCTCTTCATATATATTATTTCTCACTTTTATTCTCTTTGCACCATAACCTTGCCTGCTGCAGATGTCACATATCTATGTATTCACCCTCTCCCGATAAAAGCAGCTCTCAATCTGAAACAGACTACTGTATCTACCCTTAAAGAAGGAGTGTGTGTGTGTGTGTGTGTGTGTGTGTTTGTGTTTTATAATACCAGTTGGAAAAACTACATCTTGACACATTTCCAGAAATCCAATCACACTTCGGGGATAGGTGGGTAGGGGAAAGGAAGAGATTACAGGCTTTTATTATGGAAAAGTAGACAATTTAGACTTAATATCATATGAGTTTTCTGGATGACACTAGAAATTGCCAGCTCTTTGCATATTTGTCCCACATGCTCAAAGCAATAAGTTTACACTTAATATTAACTCATGATTTTATGTCATGGTTTGTTGAATACAGTACAGTGGTATGAGTCACATATACTGCTATACTATAAACTAGGCTTTATAAAGCACAACATTTGGGTTCACAATGACAAAGCAAAAATCAAACAAACCATCTCATGACATAGTATGATGTATGAACCCAGCCTCTGTGCTTTTAAACTATGGTCAAAGAATAAACACTGAAAACTATCCTAATTTGTCTTACCCACTTTGATTTAGCAGTGGTTAGATTCAAGGAAGTTAGTCACCAATGCATTCATTTAGCAGAGAAGCACTCGTGAACTTCAGAACCAGTAGAAGCAAATGGAGAAATCCTCCATATTGATCTGAGAGTTCTTATTTTATGCTATATATTAAACAATTATCTCCAGAGAAAAAGCTGACAACATAGTTCACTTCTTCAAGTTGATCGGAATGGAAAATTATTAATGTGCTATTTCTGGTCAAATATGGCATCGTCCTCTGGAATGACTACATAGGTATTAAAACATGTCTTCAGCAACTCCAATTGAATACTTATGGTTCCAGCAATAAGGAGATATTGACTTCACACTATATTTTTTGAAATTTGAGACTATGAGCCAAATACATATTTAGGCTTGAAAAGGAAATACGGGAGGGAGGGGAAGATATAAACTTTTGAATCAACTTAAAAGAGATCACTCTTAAAAAATTATGACTATTCCATCAATCTAAAGTGAAAAGCATACAGTATAAGAACTCAGTGCACCATAACTATCTTATGGACCAATTCATTTTTCTTTCTTTCTTTATAGCATTGCAAAATAAAAAGGTTTCTTTCTGGAAGGTTTACTTTTACAGTTATATAGTTCTGTAAATGGCATGCCGCTAAAGCAAATAAAAAAACCCAGAAGTTCATATCCCCCTTCCTTTTCCTAGCTTAATTGCCAAAATAAAGAATGTACTAAAAGCAGATCAGTTTATGACACTCACCACTCTTCCATTCAATGTTTAGCTATTTCTTTGTCTGTCAAAAGATTCTTTTTTTGAAGTCAGCAGGTTAGCTATATTCAATCCTCTTTAGAATTAATCAAGGGATTCAGATAAAGTTAGCAGAGTATTGATCTTGAGATCATCTCTCTCCTTCAGGAATTCTATGCAGGGTACACTGAACCCTTGAAACTTTGTTGTTTTCAGTCAGGAACCCTCTTCAATGGTCTTTCGTCCATTCTAAATTCATAGATTTTCAACAGCTAACACTGTCTAAACCCCACTTGGTTTGCCAGCCATATTCTCTGTCTATTCCCAATCTAACCACATCTCCCATCTTCTCTTTCCATAGCACATTTCAGTCTCCTCTTTCCTTTCCGAGAGATTCTTTTTTTCCATGTGAAAATGTTATTTTTTTCAGCCCCAATTGTTTTTGTAGATCAACCTTAACCATCCTAGGCACAAGTTATATGTTTGGGAGATGATGGGACTGGATGGCAGACTCTGTTTACTTGCTCTGTAGAGTCCTTGGTGCTCTTTGAACTTGGTTGTTTGCTTGCAGATGTTTCATTAGTCAGCTACATAACATCACCTGTGCAAGTAAGTGTAGGGTTTGCTCCTTGTTTATATGCAAATAATTCTTGACTTATGATTGTAATTGTAATTGAGTCTGGAGTTATGGTCATAAGTTTTTGAGGTTGCTGAAGTGACCAGATCTGATTTTATGATATTTTTTGTGGTGATCATTAAATTCACTTGCTCATTTGGTAAATATGAGTAATATGATAGTGGAAACAAACATTTTAGAGGCATTGGCTTCCTTCACTGAATTTCTTTGTAGCCAGTTTGCGTGTGACAAACTTGTTATGTGAATTCTCCAACATGGCCATGGCTTGCACCTGAGAATAATGCTCACATAAAATTTTAGAAGTTATTAGTTGTGGTGTTCTTCCTTATAGTTTGTGAAGAAAGGTGTACTCAATCCTTCTGACCCAAGAAAACAGAATCTGGGCTAGTAGAAATGAATTTCAAATCTTTCAAACCTGACATAATTCACACACACACATACACACACACACACACACACATATCTAATGATACACAATTATTTGAGACAAGGGAGCACAGATTTTTGGATTTCAACAAAAGGAAAGGCACACTTTGAAGCCACATTCTCTATTGTTATGCCACTGAACTGACAGATGGAGCTGTAAATGTTTTAAGGATTCATTGCTATGTCTGTGTTCATCAGAAAGAAGTCATGTCTTCATTCCAAATCAGCTGCCCCGAAATCACTAAGACTAAAAGGTAAAAATGGTTTACCTTTTTTATTTTGCACCTATATTTGGATTAATGGAGCAGGTTACTGTTCATGGTTCAAAAGAAAAAAAAAATCAATCTCATTCTCTCTCAAAGCACCTTATAAATATAACATTTTCTTGCATCTTGCTATTACAGTCCTAACCTCTGGCAATCAATTCTATTTCTGAGGAGATAGAACACAATTTATCTATCTATCTTCCATTTGCTGAAAGAAAAACTTTTAGCCTAACATATCAGAATCTATTCTATGCCATGGCTTTTATGCTCAGGATAATGAGTTTATTTGCTTAATTTTAAAAACACTGCTATCACCTGTTGCTAGTATATCATAATTTAACATTCTTTTTTTCTGATAGATAGTATAATCTAAATTACTATAACAGAACACTAATATCATCTTAGTCCTGAAAGGCCTAAGAAGCCAGAAATGCTGCAGGCTGCTGAAAACATGACAATATAGTGAAAAATGGCACCTCCACATATTAGCAGGGATATTTGCAGGGTTTCATCAAGAAAGTCAATATGGCAACTGTGATGGTGAAATTAAAGCTCTGCCAATTTTTTGGGGGGGAATGTGTGTGTGTATTACATCTGCTGTGCCATAAAATCTAGTGAAAATTTCGACTGAACCATCATAGCTGCAGGGCTATGTATGGTATGTTTATATATATCCTTTTACAATCATTTGTTTACTTAACAATCTTCCAGATGTGCATATTTTTATACATAATCATAAGCAATACTGAAATTTTGATGAAATCAATATTTTTAAGTGAAATCTAAAGACATATTCCATATTCAGCATATAATAATATTATTTAGAAAGGATAATATAATTACCCTTGTGATGGATTTCTCCAGATCTCTTAGTTACAAATGAAAGATAATGATATCTGCAGACAAATTGTTCTGCATAAGGCAAGTGAGAT